GTTTTCTCCTGCTACAGTGGAAGGAGAGTAAAGCGGTAGGATTTTTTTTTTTTTTTTAATTAATCGACAGGGAGTGGGTCTGCATTGTCATGGCAACTGTGAGGGGTGGCCTTCTCACTTAGAAAGGAAATGCTGGTTGCTGGTCCACTCATCATCAAACTGGAGCAGAAAAGGAGATGGGGGGGGGGGGATGGATGAAGAATGTTTTTTCACTGTTTAATCTCAAACAAGTCACCAGACCTTTTTTCCATTTCCTCCATGGTCCACCAAAGTTGATGGTGAACACAAATTCTGAGAGAGAGCTGAGAGAGCTGGGACCAGAGCTTTCCTTTCTGATAGGTATAAGGTGAGGTTGATCATGCCTCCAACATTAGTGATGATCCCCCAAACACCTCCTACAAAATGAACCCTAGAAGTCCTATCACTGAGCCACAGCCAGGGTTACTTTTCTTTTCTGCTCTCAAAATTGTATTTTTTCCTCATTTACACCCGGATTGAGAAGAGATAAAACATATGGATTCGTTTAGCCTGGACAACAAGGAAAATTGCATAAGAACAGCAAAGCTGGGTTACAGAGAACTATCTGTTGGGGTTGGAGGAAAACAGGATTACAGCTCTTTTCCAATTCATGTCTATATGGTGTCATGTGAGCAATCCACAGGACTGACTCTTCACTAGCAGAAATACCAGAAAAAGATAAATTTCCCACTCTAGAGCCACCTATACATGCCCTATCTATTTTCCTTTCACAGAAAAGATCAGAAACCCCCCCCAAGGACTCCATATTGAACATTTCTTGACAAAGTGGAGGGAAGGTTTCCCTTCTGTTCCCAACTCAGCAGCCAACTGCACTTATTCATTCAACAAAAACTATGTGCACAGCATCCTATGAGAAACACTGGAATATGCACACACATACACAGAAAGGTTCAATATTCAAATTATTCCTATCCTTAATAAATTTTCAATCGATAAAACTACTCAAGAAGATATCATGTTAGAAAATCTTCTGAGCTCTGAGGCAGATGACTACTTTGGCCTGAGAAAAGCAAGACTACAGACAAGTGAGAGGAAAGGAGAGGGTGGGAGCTGCAGGAACAAAGGTACAGGAATGAAAAGTGCAGGGCATAGTGAGGGAAGAGTTTTAAGAATAGTGTTTAGGATCAGACTGCAGGAAAAGGAGAGTCATGGCAATTTTGTAGGTAATGAAATGACTTAAGAAAGAGATGCTTTCGGAAGAATGATCTGGTAACTGTGTACAGACTGGATCAGAAGAGCCAAAGAAATCAGGAGAGAAAAGGAGGCCCTGACAACAAAAGGCCTGACATGAGGACAGTCAGGATACAGAAAGGAAAAAAGGGAGTAAGATATTAAAAAGAGAACCTCATTGCTGGTTCAACTTCCCAGAGCCAGCCCTCCTAAGCATGGATCTGATTGGCATGAGTCTTTTACCAGGTAAGTGCCCTATTAATGAGGGAAATGCTATTCTATTTTGGCAACTTCCCTTCACATTTCAGCAGCCAAACAGCGTACCCCAAACTGCTACCAAAACAAAACAAAACAAAACAGACATAGCCCTACAGAAGGCACATAGGAGTTGAGATTCTTCAGCCTTCTCTGGGTTTTAGACACACAATTAAGGTCTCTCTGGACAAACTTTAGTCTCCCTTTCCCACAAGTATCAACTCTGCCCAGACTAGGGTTTAGACCCTCCTGTGGGGAGGATGGGGTAGTCATGAATTAACTTCATGCCCTCCTACCCCTCTGACATAGCTGACAAGTAGCTTTCTCAGTTTGTGCTTACAGCCAACTCCAGGTGTGTTCCTAACTAGCCCCACTGAGGTATAACTCTGAACACATTCTCAAAGTGCAGGATGTAAACAGCCTGAGTCTCCCTGTCACTGCAATCCCAAATCCCCAAACCTTTAGGTGTGGGGTCACATGAGCTCTTAGTAGGTTTTTAAAAAAGGAATAAATAGCATTCAGCCTAGCTGCTCACTGGTGGGGTTAGAGACACAGCATCAAGCCAGTGTCCTCCAGCTGGCCAAGGACTGTGGTATCCCTCCTAGGCCCTTTTCTCCTTTTTGTGGAAAGACAGGGAATGTTTCAGGTAGCTCAAAGAAACAAAAACCTTATTTTATTTCATCTTTAAATTTCTGCCTCGATTTATAAGCTCAGATTCTCATTTCCTTAAGTGGGTGCCTTCTTAGCTAAAGAAAAGTGCTAAAGGCAGTTGTGAAGGGTGTACTAGTGTACTAGTTCCAGTCCTAGTCCCAATCCAACTAGGCTTCTGAGCTCTTAAAACTGCCGACAAATGGGCAACTGAGAGACATCCCAGGTGGAGTTAAACCTCTGCTCATAGAATGTGCCCGGGTATACTTGGCTAGCTGAAAATTCTTCATAGCTGACAGGCTCTAGAGCGATTCATTGGACTGTCATCTGGGTGTCCCCCAAGCTGGGTCGTCACCCGCCAGGGCTCTCGGGGCACACACTCCCACCCCTGCCCCTCCGCCTAGGCCAAGTCGACCCCACTCTTCCCAGAGCATTGAGATCAGAGGCTG